TTCGTACGCTCGTGTGCTCGGAGAAATTTGAATCGCGTGGAGGGAATGGCGAGCAGGAAAATCGTGGCACGTCCTCCACGCTAATGGATAACTACCGAGCGGTTAAATAAATTGGAAAGAATCGGAGAGAATTCGCGGGAGAGAGGGACGAGAGCAAGGTGGGGTCAATTATCGCTAATGCACCGATATCGTCGGAGATTACGCCGCTATGCGGACGGGAACGACCAAACGGAGGTGCTTAAGTATGCAGGACCACGGTTGTGGCCACGAAAACCGTAATTCAGGAGTAACTTTCAGCCAAACTTTAACTTCTCCCTGTTTTTTTGTTTTTCTCTTCCCTCGTTTTTTCTTTTCCACACGAGAACGTTGAATAAACTCACCTCGCCTCTCGACAACCTTCCTCTCCTCGCAGTTTGGCCCTGCAACAAAGTAGCAACGATCGAATTAGCGCATCGTCCGTGCTACTTTTTTCCCTCGCGAGATGTTTCGCGAGCATTCGACACACGCTTTCACCGCTAACGAAAACGAACGAAAAAAAGAGGAAACACGAGAGCCACCCCGGGCGGAAACTTGGAATGTACAGAGGATGGTTTTCTGATCGAGCTTGGATATCAGACCGACCTCTGGTCCACGCTCCCTTCGCGTCCATTTCCTTAGGACAGAATCGATAATAGCAGAGGGTTAGGTTGAAAGAAGAAGGGCCCCAGGATCGGTGGCTGCGTTACCGGTCGACCTTTTTGCCGGCTCTTCGGGATTCGAGTTCAGTAATTGCCGCGGTAATTACCGCGAATTACGGCGATAATTACCGTCATTACGCGGCGCAGTAATTTTGGTAATTACTGCGGTAAATCGTAAGCTCCGATTGCAAGTGCTCCTCGGCCATCGGTAGACCGACGCGGCGGCCGGGGCAACTTTTAAGACACGTAACTAACGGCCTGATACGAGATTCGCGTGGAATCCTGTTGCCTTTGTTTACGGTAAACCGATGGCCGTGTTCAAAGACGAGTTCTCCCCCGTTCCCTATCCAGCCTCCATTTCGCCGGAATCACCGGCGCGGCGGCGGGCGGCGCCGCGTTACCGCGAACCCCCTTCAAATTTATACGGAAGCCAACGCTAACGCGTCGAGATCCAGCAAGCACCGGCTACGCTAATTACCAGCGATTTTACGAGCCGAGTTCACGACTGCAACGAGCCAGACGCGATTAGCCTTTTCCAATTGTTCGTCGTGCAGCCTCCACTTATTTAATCGACTGTGCACGGAGTAGCAGGTGTGGATTAAACTGGCTCAAGTAACGAGGTTCGCGTTTCTCGCTGCGCGACTTTACGTTTCGAGAACCTTTTGCCACGGTTCGAGGTCCCTTCGATTCCGGCCCAACTTCCAATCGAACGTTTCCACCGTCGAGATCAACGGGAAACTGAACTGATGCGTCGAGTAGAAAGCACAACTATCGCCGGCGGAGTGGAACTTGTAATCGCGTTATTATTCCATCGTTCTCGAGAAACTATCAAGCAACGTTCTCGGAATGCCAATCGGTACCGTATAACGGAACAAGCGCGTTAAACTCTTCTCTCGCGCTAATTAATCCGAGATTCTCCTACGTAGATTTACGACGGAGTTTCGATCCAGAGAGCCGTTCCAACGGCAACGACGCATCGCGAATCTCCCACGTTGGAACATTTTGGTAATTCGCGTGGTTCCCTTGTCGACAGTGGCAATCGAGAAAAGCGCAGCTATTATTAAGATTGCCATCATCCACGCGTCGCTGACAACGAACAACACCACCAATCATACTCGTCGTGTTCCACCGTTTCACGATAATGAAGTTCGAAAAGCAGGGTGAAAGAGAACATGGTAGAAACAACTAGCTGGGGTACACTACATGATTCTCGGTTCAGCTACGATCGAGGAAACGTGCTACGTGGCAATTTTCACAAATGGAAACTGTTTCGATGAAATAAGCGATCGTAGGGCGAGGCGGTAAAAGAGAAGGCGATGAAAATTAAAGCGGAAGGCGTTCGTCGTGGAAAAGCAAGAGGACGCGTCGAGAGAGAGGGAGAGATCGCGAAGTGGAGCAGCGATATCAATGATTCGGAAACGATCGATGAAATGACGGTTTTCAGCGCGTCGCAGGCACGCAGTGATTGCGCATGGTGCGACTCGCGTCCATCAAGCTGACAAACGTCACGGCCGATGCAAATGGTCGGGGCTGGCTTGCGTGCGTGCATGTGTTTGGCGGAAACGTTAAGCCGCCTAATTCGCGCTAAACTTGCCCATTTTTCCTGCGGACATCGTAACGCTGCTGGATAGCGCTCTCTCTCTCTCTCTTCGGCTGTTCGTCGATTAATAAACCACTCCGACAGCAACGTTCGACCTCTCTCGTTTGCGTTTCATCTATCGATTTCTCTCGCGGACGAAGATTAGAGCAACAGAGGACGAAGTAAAGTTCAAAGAGAACAGTTACAATTATTAGAACAGCTCCCTTTTCCCCACTAAGTTGGTCTGCTGACGAGTTGGTAAATCCACGGGTCGCAGGCGAACACTGAAAATTGGTGGTCGCGGTAGGAGGAAAATCTGCTTCGACGACTGCATACGTAACAAGATTGGAAGGGATATTCAAATTACAGCCGACTCGCTCCGTAATGGACCGAGCCCTCCTCTCTCTGCCTATATTTTTACCCTCGACACGTTTCCTTGGTCCCAGGGACGGGAAAGCGGTGGTATTCAGCGAGTCGCGCGAAAGATCGTCGGTGGAAATTCCAAGAGCTATGAAAGTTCGATGACACGCCAGGCGAACGAAGACGCACCAATGGCCACGCCAGTGCCATTTTTTTCGTTTCATACTGGTTGGTCGGTTCGATCGGCGAATCTCTGGGGGACTGGTCCCTCTCGAATTTTTCGAATACCTGGGAAATATTTGCCAATGGAAAAAAGGACGGCGGTGGAATGGAACGTTTCCACGGCCGGAGGACGCGAAATATAACGAAATCTTCAAAAGCCACGGGGGTGATTTCCATTGTTCCAGCAAGCTCTCGATATCGTCAGCTGCCATACCACCAGAGCTCGATTCGTAACTTCATCTCCGCGAAATATTGCCGTGTGTTCTGTTCGATCGTGTATTTTCGTTCCAGACGCGACGCTTCTTTTTTTCTTTTTCTCTCGTTTCGACAAATTAATCGCGGTGCTCGCGATTCCCCACGTATCGAACAGAACAGTGTTCGTTAGGCGTCTCTTTTAATTTAGCCAATAATATCGGCATCGCGACGCAGCCACTCGTAACAGAGCGTAGTCGGAAACGAACGCGAAAGATCTCGGCTGGTAAAGCGAGGGCAGGTTAATCCGGGCGAATTGCGCGACGATAAATCAGAGCTCGCTTAATAATGAAATTCAATGCGCCCGCTCTGCCGGTGTCGAGCAACTTTTATCAAAAGCGTCTATTTATCTTTCTTAGGAAACAGTTTGAGAACAATTCGCTCATAAACGGCACCGGCCGGAAAGATTTTCGTCCCGGCCCCGTTTGCCCATGCTTCTTCCGCCGCGCCGGCGTAACTGGGTCGCTGAGATTGATGGTTTTTCTTTTATCCTTTGGAACTCCAAATGGAGCGTGGAGAGGGGAGCTCGGAGAGGGCTTTCATAAATTTCGTAAACACTCTCAGGTGAATAGCTATCGTCGTACTAACGTTCGAAAAAAGAAATACGCACGCGAAGAGCAACCGGACGAAACAAAGGCTATGGGAAATAACCAAGGTGGCCGCATGGTCGGTTGAAAGCGAATTCAGAGGAGAGAAAATCGGATTGGGCAAAGTAACCTGGCGGAATGAAAATCTCTCGAACGTGTCCTCGTGAACGGAACGACAGAGACCGAACGGAGAGGGCTACGCGATGATTCAAGTGCCGTAAAAGCGATTCGATTTGCACAACCGTTCTTCGATTCTCCACCCTTTCGTCAAACTCTCTCTCTCTCTCTCTCTCTGCAGTTTCCTCTCAATCTTCGACTCTACCGTACTTCTGTCATCGCGCTCTCGTAATTTCCTGTCCTAGCCCGGTACACATCGTTACCGATACACACTCTTCGCGCGGTATTTTCACCGACGCGAAACACGCCGGACTTGTTCCAAGTCGGGACATTTCGGAAAAGTAACTGTGAACACAATGGACAGAGGTAGATTGACAAGTGGAAGTGCAAATATTCAAAAAAATTGCGAGCGCAACGGCAAACAGAACGTATGCGCGGCACAAAACAGCAAACGAATCTCGCTTTTATACCTCGCCCCCTGTGCAATTAACTCAGTTTGAAAACGGAGAATCAACGGGCGGCGGCGCGGCGGGAGGGAGCAGGTTTGCCAAGTTCAAATCAAATTTATCGCAGCTCTATAAATAGATTTCGATCGCGATGATCAAACGCGCGCGCGCTCTTGTCCCATCGTTCCAAAGCGATCAGCCTCAAAGCGTTTCAACGGATAAATTGGAGGCTCTAGAGCCGATAGTTGGCGTTAGAGTAACGCGCCGTTGTCGACGTATCGCAACACGCCGTTCTCTCCCTGACCATTTTCTCTTCTTTTTTTCCACAGGTTCGTTTACAGTCCAAGTTCGATCGCAGGTTAATCCCTCTCGTTTCGTCTTAAATCGCAAGGTACACGAGCTTTTCTAGCGGTTCAAGTCTCCGCGACGGCAGCAGCCG